GGCCGGCCTGAGCTACAAAGTGAGCTCAAGGCCAGCCTGAACTGCACAGTGAGACCCTGTCTGAAAAAGACCAAAGGAAAAAAAAGAAAAAAATAACACCAAGTGAATGCCTTCTACAGCCTGGAATGCATGATTTACTTAATGGCATGACTGGATGAAAGTCATCTCTTGCTGGGATAACTGCCACTCCGGGTCTCCAGCACCATGTTTAATGCCCCCCAAATAACCCACACACATGTTAATACTGCTGTTTTGTTCTGTTTTGCTTGTTTTGTTTTGTTTTGCTTGTTTTGTTTTGTTTAGAGACAGCGTCTCACTACATAGTTCTGGCTGGCATTGCACTCGCTGTGTACCCCAGGCTCGCCTCAAGCTCACAGCAATCCTCCCTCATTATCCTCTGACTGCCGGGATTACAGGCGTGTGCCACCACGCCCGGCCACACATACTAATACTATTTCTGCAAGCAAGTGTAATAACCTTCGCACTCAGTGGGACACCAGGACCAGCATTGGTCTGACATGAATTCTGGCCAAGTATCTCGGTACAAACTTGCTATTATTTTCAGAGCTTTATGGATTGCAAGTGGAGCAGCTCAGGGCCAGTGTTCTCTGTCCTGCGTAAGTCCCCCGTGAGCGGGACAGATGAGGCCCTGGGCCCCTGAGGAGAAGGTGCTTCCTTCCTCTCGGACTCTTTCCTTTTCTCTCCCTACTTCTTGGGTGCCAAGAGATGAGAAACTTTGCCCCAACACACCCTGCCACTGACCATAAACTGGACCTCTTCTCTCCCATGGGGCTGCTTCTGTCGGGTATTCTATCACCACAGAGAGCTGAGGCAACCCACATTAGGAATTCCCACGTGGATCCTCTAAACACACTGCTGTGTCTTGGTCAAACTCACCAGGGAGTTTGATCCGCCTTTGCTGTCCATAGTCTAGAGCGATTTCCTGCTGCATTTAATGTTACATTTTTAATCCTGAGAATTAAACATTTCTCACAGAATGAGGGAGTGAGATTTTATGATCACTCTTGTCACGAAAATATGTGTCAAAGGAGTCCTGGGCATGATTTTCCTTTCAAGGTATTTTTGTTTCATTTTTGTTTTTAAAAACAGGGTGTCGCCATGTAGCCCAGGCTGGTGTTGAACTTACAGAAATCCACCTGTGTGAGCCTCCGCAGCCATGAGATTACAAGCACGCACCACACACCCGGCTCTTTGAAGGCATTTTAGATTCATTTCTCCTCAAATGTTTTTATTCACAGCAGGTTGTGGTAACACCTATTTGTAATCCCAGATACTCAGAAAACTGAGGCAAAAGGATCAGAGGTTCAAGACCAGCCTCGGCAGTTTAGCAAGACTCAATCTCAAGATTGAAAAACTCAAAAAAGGGCTGTGGATGTAGCTCAACACACCCTCAGTTTAAGTCCCACTAGTACAAGAAAATTCTTCTTACGATTAGTGATATTTCTGGAAAAATGTGGCCAGATTAAAATTTGTTTAGTCTGTCTCTCTTTACAATCCCTTTCTGTGTCACACAATTTATCTCCACCTATATTTCTTGGCATAATTGCTTGTTATGGGTTGAAATATCCCCCAAATTCACATGTTAACGTCTTATTCCCCAGTATCTCAGCATTTGAAAATGACAGTGATCATAGCCATAAATACCATAATCCTGAATCCTAAAGGATTGAAAGCCTCAAAGTCTAGAATCTGAAAAGTCACACACTGAAAATAAATTCTCAAGCAACTGGGCGTGATGGTGTATGCCTGTAATCCCAGGACTTGGGAAGAGAGGCAGGAAGATCAATGTGAGTTCCAGGTCAACCTAGGCTACATAGTGAGTTCAAAGACAGTCTTACCTACCTAGTGAGACCTTGTCTCCAAGAAACACAAATAAATAAATCAATAAATCTAGAATGTTAAAATGATGAAAATCCAAATTTTCAAACTGCTAATACTCATGATAAACAAACAAACAAAAAATATATATATACCCATATATATATGTATATGCTAGAAAGTTAAATTCTGGACAAGATATGGACCATGACATATAGCAGCGATAAAAAGGCTTTAGTTTAAAAACAAACTAAGCATGGTGGCTCATGCTTATAATCCCAGCATTTGAGAGGCTGAGGTAAGAGGATGGGTGCGAGTTTGAGTCCAGACTGTGCTATGTAATGAGCTCGAGGCCAGCCTGAACTACATAGTGAGACCCTCTCTCCACCTCACCATGATGTTCTATCCCAAAGAAGTCAATATCATGAATCTTAGCTCAAAGAGAACGGATTTGATTTTTGGAATCCTGCTTTGAAATGGTGTCCTCCGGGGCTGGATCATGTTTGACCTGACCATAGCCATCTTGGTTGAAACTCATTTTGTCCGTCAGGTGACTGTGGTACACACCCAAATCCTGTAGGACAAATAGTACCATCAACATATTAGCATGTGGTGTCCAGCAAGATACCCGGCACGTTTCTTACCTGACACTGGATGTGTTAGCAGTGTTTCAGAAAGGCCAGTGCATTCCAGACGGCCTGAGCCCACCTTTTGTCTGGCATGGCCCTTGGGTT